CTCGGCCGCGCCGCCTGCTCAGGGGCGGGCTCTGGGCCGCAGCGGGTGCCCCGTCTGAAACCTCCTGGCGCTCCGGTTCCTTTCCTGGCCGCTTCCGACTCTGTGTCCGCTCCACCGCCCCCGCTGGTGCTTGTGGGGTGGAGGCGTCCTGATTTCCATTGGCGTTTACCTCTAATGGGAGCCCTCGCAACACGTGACTGGTTAACGTAAATCATGTCAAAAACGCTGTTTTTGAGTTGCACTTGCCGCATGTCCAGTGCTGGGGGCACTGTGTTGGGCAGCACACACACGCAGTGCTCCCACCATCTCAGCGAGTCCCTTGTCGTCCCAGATGATGGGACTGAGATCGGTCAGTGTGAGTCCCGGAAGGACCGCACCCCTGAAGTGTGTTCTGTTCTCTTTTACAGACACTCGTTTTACGTGTGGGAGTAATATCGTAGAGAAAAAATGCTTATTGGGTGCAAAGAGAGGCCAACCTTTTTTGAAATTTTTGAGACGCGATGCAGCCAATGATAGAGTTTATATAAATTGATCAATTGCAGTGAGCAATGTTTTCAGAAAATATGTAAATACGCATGCTTGCTGGGAAGAATCCAATACGTCACATTTTTGTTTATGCTATATATAAACTGTTCTTTGTGGAGTCATAAATGCAGTTAAGAGGGTGAACATTTATAGTTTCCAAATGGTAAGAAATTAAAGTTCAGACCTTCCAGCAAATGAGAATCATTGGCAATGTTACTTTGTAGCAAAAGTTGTCAAATATTTTTGTCTCCGTACTCCTTACACTCTTAAAAATGATTGAGAACCTCCAAGGGTTTTACTTTATGTAAGTTGCCATAAATAACCTTTAAAGATAGTTAGTGATTCACTTTAAAGTAAAAATAATCTGCCCTAATCGGTTTGGCTCAGTGGATAGAGCGTTGGCCTGCGGACTCAAGGGTCCCAGGTTCGATTCCGGTCAAGGGCATGTACCTTGGTTGCGGGCACATCCCCAGTAGGAGGTGTGCGGGAGGCAGCTGATCGATGTTTCTAACTCTCTATCCCTCCCCCTTCCTCTCTGTAAGAAATCAATAAAATATATTTTAAAAAAATAAAGTAAAAATAATCCCAATGCATATTAATATACATAACATTGTTATGAAAAGTAACTATTTAAAGAAAAAAGAGTGGCATTGTTTTACATTTTTGCCATTCTCTTTAATATCTGGCATAATAGAAGATGGTTGGATTCTCATACCTGTTTCTGTATCCTGTCTGTCGTAATATGTTGCTTTGGTAGAGGTCTGTGAAGAAAACCCAGCTCACACAACAATGTAGTTGGAGAAATAAGGAGTGTTTTAATAGTCTTCAGTTAATTGTGGGTATTTTTCTTTCATACTATACCAAAACTTAAGTGGTAGTTTCTTAAAATTCGCAATGTGGAATCTGAAACCATGTAATGAAATGTTCGTACTTTTGTTACAGTCTTCCTTTCACTTTGAATAAAGCTTTCACCCACATTGTAACATCATGCATTGATTATTTGGAAAATGCCTTTGTTCTGAATTACACAGATATTCCATATATTGACACATTGCATTAAGCAATATTAAAAATAATCATATTTGTTAGTTCACCAATATTAAGGATGTCAAGCTGACAACATGGCAAAATTTAACAATTCTAATTCTCATTTTAAAGCTCACGTAGTTTCATTGGCTGTTGTTTTCCCTCAGTGACAGGCTCACTTCATTCATTTTCGAAAAAATGTCTCCCAAATCATCCAACTCAGAATGATTTAGTTTGTCAGTCATTCTTTCTAGTAAAAATGGCTCTCTATGGGAAAAAAGTGCTCATTTACGTCACACTCATCACATGAGTGCTTTTATAAACAATTACTGTAGTTAAATATGCAGAAATGCTTTGTGCATACTTTTCGTTTTGTCACAGGGAATATTAAAACATGTTTTTAATATTAATATTGGGTTTTAATAAAACTAATTTTCACTGCATCATTACAGACATTTCGATTAAGCTGGCATTTTGGGGTGTGTGTGTGTGTGTGTGTTTGGTTGGTTTGCATGGTGATGATACTACTAGTACAGTTTGTTGCCACTGCCTTGGCTCATGCAAAGGTGTCATCAGTTTCACTCACCAGAGGTGCAATGTCAGCATTGTGAAAAAGACAAATTATGCTTTAATATTATTTTGAAAATAGTTTTGACCTTATGAACCTCTTGAAACAGTCTTAGGTACCTTCCCCTAATTGGGCCATAGACCACACTTTTATTTATTTATTTATTTTTTTAGACCACACTTTTAGAATTGGTAGTTTAAGAGTGAATAGATCAGCGTCGAACTTTTGTCATTTCTCTTTAACAGACAATCTTTTCATTCTCTCTTATTTGAGAATCTACATGTTCCTTATATCTATAGATTTATCTCATCCACTTAAGTAGTGTCTATAAACATTTGAATTGTGTCTGTGAAATGCATTCTCACTATGGTTTTTGTTTCTGAATCGTGAATATAAAATAAAACTTTAGTAGAGCTAATATAGTTAAGAGCTCTCTCTTTGTAACTTTTGTAAACTTGTTATACCTTGCTGCAGATTTATAAGAGAACAAACAAATGATCCTGTTTAATTAATATGCTTTAACAAAAGTCATCCATAGTCCAAATTTCAAGCATCCTTTTTATTATGATCTTTACTGGCTCACAAATTTTTCTGTCTCTGATTAAAACCAAGATGAGATTTTTATTTTTCTTACAGATTTAGGACCAATAAGTATTATTTGGTTCGATAAACTTTCTTCAGAAGGCACACCATATAATTCTGAAACTGCAGAAGAATCTGAATATAAAACCATCAGTTATGAACCAAACCTATTTAAAACACCTCAAAGGAAACCTTATCATCAGTTGGCTTCAACTCCAGTAATATGCAAAGAGCAAGGTCTAACTCTACCACTGTATCAGTCTACTTTAAAAGAATTAGATAAAGACAGATTAGATTTAGGAAAGTAAGATGTAAACTAGGGGGAAATATGAAGTAGGAATTCAGACAAACTTGTATTAAGAATCCTTCTCTGTCATCAATTGTGTCATGTTGGTCAAATCAACCTCTCTGGCTTTACTTTCCCCACCTAAAAATATGGAGATGATGAAAATAATATTTGATAATTTTGGATTAAATAAAATAATGTAGGTACTTAATAAATTTCTTTTCACCCAGCCAGTATGGCTTAGTGAGCCAGGAGATCACAGGTCAATTCCCAGTTGTGCCACACCAGCACGACCGAGGGTGATCCCAATACTGAGCCCAACAGAGCCTGAGATGAACCCAGCAGTGTGTCCTCAAAGTTGGGGTCCTAGCTGCACCCAGGTTTCCTCGGGGGCTCTGGAAAAGGATCTGCTGGTGGAATCATGCACAGACATGGAGAGGCATGGGGGAGATGGTGAGCTTTCAGCAAGTAAGATGGGTATTTGGCCAGTATTTGTCTGAAAAAGAGGCCAGAGTTGAAACCACATGCATGCACCTCTGTCCAATACCCACCAGGGTGGAGGGAGCTGGGCCCCTTTGTTCTGAGCTCAGGCTTATGCAGTTGTGAACCCAACCCTCAATGGAAAATTGGGAAACTGATGTCCATAGAGTGGCAGATATCATCCAATGTCCATGACATTCAGAGCCCAGAGTTCAGGAATGTTCAGACCTTCCAGGCCAAGGCTCCCACCTC